GTGCGACGCATGTAAATAATATGTATGTATGACTAAAAACTTAAATAAAAAGTGAATATTACGTCTTTCTCGCTGAAAAACTGCAACTCCGCAACTTTGCGCGCTCTCGCTGAAAAACTGCAACTCCGCAACTTTGCGCGCTCTCGCTAAAAAACTGCAACTATGCAACTTTGCGCGCGCTGCGTATAAGGTTACATACTGCGTGAAATAAGTATGTGCGAATAAATAACATATGTACAATATACATAGTTGTTCTAAGCATGTTTTTTTTTTTCATATTTCTGTTATATAAAAAAAATTTACATATGTACCAAAACATCTTGGAGACGCGTAGTATTGTCGTACAGCATTAAGAAGTACGAGTATATACCATGCATATAGTAAATAGTACATACCTTGAAGTATCGCCATACCGGTGCCCGCCGCGTCATATCCTGTGACGCCATCTTGTCGAACCGCCATATTGCCACGTGTGAAGTCGTCATAACGGAGCCCGCCGCGTGTGAAGTCGCCATAATGTCGCGTGACGTCATTTCCCGCGTGACGTCATATCCTGTGACGTCAGAGCCACGCAACCCGCGTGACGTCATAGTGACGTCATTTCACGCGTGACGTCAGAGCCACGCCCCCGCGTGACGTCATAGTGACGTCACCCCTCCCCCTGTGACGTCACACCGCGCGTCCCCCTCCCCTCTCCGCGTGACGTCATACCCCACGCCACCTGTGACGTCATACCCCTTCCCCGCATGACGTCAGTACCCCTTCCCCTGTGACGTCATTACCCCCTCCCCTCCCTTCCCCTGTGTAACGTCATTACCTCCTCCTCCTCCCCTCCCCTGTGTGACGTCATACCCCGCACTCCCCTCGGAGCTCCCTGAATTAGAACTCTCATAGTTATACTACTTATAATAACAGCGCAAAATCGGCTGCAACAACAACTGCAGCAGGTGCAACAGCAGCAGCAGCATCAACAACAGCAGCAGCAATTCCAACAACAGCAGCTGCAGCACCAACAACAACAGCAACAGCAGCAGCCTCAACAACAGCAGCCCCAACAACAGCAGCAAGAGTTGCGGACAAATGCAACTAGTAAGCTATTTATTTAATATACCACAACTATTACTTACTAAATATAATAACTGCAAATCTTTTATTTTATTAATAATTCTTGTCTTAAGAAAACACGGTGGCCGAGGGGGTGCCAGCGAGCGCTAGCGCGGAAGAGGAGGTCCGTCACTTTCATACGGAAGAGAAGGCCCGCGCGGAAGAGGACGCTCATATGTACCAATTATTCAGTATTATATTAATTATTAATATAATACTGAATAATTGATGCCAAATATTTATATATTTTTAAATAACCTGCATTTTTTAAATTACCCTCATATATAAATAAAATATTTCATTCAAAAACTCAAACTATTGTCATATTACTTCTTTCATATGTAAATATATCCGACATCCATGTTTAAAAACCTAACAAATGCGAAATAAAACGTGGTAGAATAGGGCTACAGGCAAAAAACTTAACGCGCTATTAGTGGCACCTTCTGGGTAGTGCGGAAGACCACTTTTTCATAATATTACCTATCATTATTGCAAAACATAAAACTTATATGTTATATAATTGTTGCAAAATTATTTAATATTGTAACATGAAAGATTTTAGTAGCAAAGTTTATGTAATATTTTCGATTCATTTTCTATGGGGAACTGCATAGCATTTCATGTATTTCGAAAAATTACATCGTTGTCTATTGATTCCACAAATTGCGATGTCACTAACATGGAAATCTCGATGTGTGAGACAAGCGAAAAACATTGAACGGTGCGCGTCCACATGTCTAAACACATTTAAACTTTTATTTTTACTGCTCGATCGATGTAACGATCTAATATGAGAATATATAGTGAACAATTTGTGTAAAAAAGGAGAATGAAAACCTATATTAAATAACATTAAACCAATGTTTTTATTTAACTTATGTCTCACAAAGCTTTACACACAATTTTTCTTTCAAAGACGTACAATATTTATATATTTATATTTTGTCTCCAAAATGTACAGTCTTAGAAAAAGAACGTAATATTATTGATGATAGTAAAACATTTGAAGATGCATTATATTTTTTGTGAAATTATTACATACAAATTAACTGAAAGAATTCAAAAGTGTTTTGAATATTGAAAGTTCTTAGTGTTCTTTTCTTATATATTTTTGTTTTGTAAATTATGACAAGAGAGAGAATCTACATTTTTCAGACATATAATCTCAAAATATTTACTTCATATTATACAAAATTCAATTCATTAATATATTCATTATTATATTCATATGGTATATGAAAATACTTTATTAAATACTTTAGGATTGTGCATCTGTAAAATGTAGATTCTTTTTGTAATTTACAAATTAAAAATATAGAAAAATTAGTAATATTAATACTATAGTTTATATATATATATATATATATATATATATATATATTTATTGTGACGTTTTTTTCTCTGGTCTTACGCAATTCCCGCGTCGTCCCGCCCGAAACGGAAGTACGAACTCGGGACACGGACGGAAGTCCGCAAGATAGGAAACGTCTAGATCAGCAGGAGAGAAAAGGGTGTTAAACCGAGCAACCACTGTACCGAGCCGACGGATCCTTGGATCTAATTTTGGGCGCTAGACGCGTACTCGCGTCAAAATGTGCGTCGCTCGACACAATGGGCCGACTAGCTCTATTTGAAACGGAGAGGAGGTGGGTCGGACGATAAATAAACAGGGCTGTCCCGAACGAATCTCGGATTAGGATCGTAATCAACCACACTGCAGATAGACAGAAAGAAATAAACAATTTATTATAACGCCGCGGAATAAGAGACAACTTAGCGAAAATAACAAAAAAAAATACAAAATAAATAATTTCACCGATAGGATACGGCGAGATCGCTTTGTCGCGGCGGCAGTAATTAAAAAAAAAAGAATGTAAAATAAAAGAAAATAGAAAATAGAAAAGTACAGGGACGATTAACAAAACACTTTCAACAGACGCGTGACCTATCGCAGGACCAATTTCGTATATCGACTCGTGATATCGAGGACGCTACGCCGTCGCGCTGACTTCACATACGCTATACACTACTAGGCGGTATAATAGACAGGGAAACAAGCGTGTTACTCAAAGCCTTCCTGAAGCTGGAAACGGCGGAATTAATTAATCTAGCCAAATCGTGCACGTACCACTAGGCGGGCCGCTAGGTGTAATATCTACGCCGCGGGACTTACTTGATTTCGCAGGGGCTGGTCAGGCTTACGCCAGGCACGGCGCAAAGCTCTCGCCGAATTCCCGTCCCCGGTCACAGTGTACTTAAGCAATCAAATATAATGCGGCATGCACGTGCCAATGAGAACACCTGAGCAAAGCGCTCACAAAGTCGGAAGAACTTGTTCCCTGGAACGAGAGCTAGGCGCTCCGCGATCCGAGAGATTCCCTAGTACGGTACGATAGATCTCTTTGATTCGATACGATAACGGTACGAAATTCTTTTAGTATAGCTCTTCCGAATCGCTCACCCCTCGCTCTTGGCAGATCACTCGGGAAATCCACACCAAAATGCCGTAGAGAATGTAATAGCGGTACGATAGAGTAGCGTGAAAGATTGATACAGCAGCAGGTGAAAACTAAGCAGTAATTAGTATGCAGGATGCGACACGTTACGATAGCGTTAATTGCAGAAAACGATACTCGATACGGTATTCGATACGATGATCGGTATGATACCCGGTACAGAGTATGTCGGTCGCGAAACGATACACTAGACAAACACTAGTACACGCAAAACACAATGAAAGAACGAAAATTGCTGCTTGGCGCTTTACTGGTACTCCAGGGCTTGTACTACTCAATAGAGTAGTTACGCGACACGCACTTAAGCCTACGAATTAATACCACAAAGCCCCGTGGAATCCGATTCTAGCCGCTGCCGAAAACTCGAAACTATGGCGAAGGTTATGTCCTTGCCGGTATCTAAACGCGAAATTCAGCGACTAGCCTCGACACGAGACTCGAGTAACGCGGATTCGTGGCTCACAAATTGACGAGGATACCTCACCGTACGTCGTCGTCCTTTTCCATTCAGCACTATCTTCAAGTTCTCAGTTCAACGATCGATCGTCGGGAGTGCCGTTAGTGTGTCCGTCCTGTTCGAGCGGCTGCGACCAAGAAAGCGAGGATCGAGATCGATTCGGGGTCGATGCGTTTGAGCGCGCTAGGATCGCGTAGGGTAGATCGCGGCAAACAATCAGGTCGCGAGGGGCGCCACATGCGACGCGATGCTCGCGCTCGGCGGCAGGACTCGCGGCTGCGAAATTCAAAGCGAGTACCAGGCCCTTACTAGCAAAAATGTAAGCAGCGAAGATTTCCAAGTGCTGAATTCCGCCAATGTAATAGAGATGCAGCATGCAGTAGCGCAGCCCGGTAAGAGGTGCAAGTTAGCAGCGGAGGGGTGCAGCAGGCTTTTCCGAAGCGAACAGAAGGTCAAAGCTGTCTCCATCGTCGGGTGTTCGCCTCGCTTCCTCGGTTTCCCAGCGCCAAGGTTCGCTGTCCTTCTCGCTGTCATTTCTCTCGCCGCTTATTCCCGGAGACTCACCCCTCTGGTCGTCGTGCGAGGGCCTAGCCGCGTCTCCACGCACACCCTTCTCTCTCGTTCTCTCTCGCCTTTATTCACAATCGACGGCTCCTGATATCTCCTCCAGTAATGTGTTCTCGGTGTGGTGAGGCGCCAAGAGCATACAAAAAAAATAATACGAATAAGCAACTAAATCTAACGCACGCAAGCAACCGCACCCCCGGACTCCCGCGATCATGAGAGCTTTTTGTGGCGAGGGAGGAGCGGCGCGACTACCACGTCACAATATATATATATATATTAAATGTTTTTCAATAATTTAAGAAAACTTTAAAATTATTACAGTTAACTTTTAATAAGAATTAATTAATTAATTAATTTTAATAAAAATGTAATAATAAATGCATCTTGAGATGTTTAACTCATCCTTATCAATAATATTGTAGTATCTACTTTTTCCAAGATTGTAAGTCATGGAAAAGCATTTTGCGTTGTCGTATTGTCATACGCTACAAGCGCGCGACGAAACATTGCTTTCGAGCCTCAATGTGTTGCTCGCGTAGCGGGTTTGGTGGAAGCGAGGCAGAACATAGTATGTCTGCGCTCTTTCACGAGCCGAACAGCCGAGCGTGACGTCACGCACACGGACAGCGGTTCTCGCTTGTGTGCGTGCCCCCACCACCTCGGTGCTTTTGGTGTTAGCCTGCCAGATCTTTCATCACTGTTCGTAAAGTAAACCGTTTTTGGTTTGCGACCATGAGCTCATTTTCGCGCGTGGGAGGCCCTGCGGCGGCCGCGGTTCAGTGCGTTTTGTCGCGACAACGAGCTAATTTTTGTCGTGGCAATGGGCGGTGAGCTTATTCCGGGTGATTTACAAGCGTTTTGCCGCGACAACGAGCTAATTCTCGTCGCGGCAACGGGCGGTGAGCTTATTCCGGATGATTTAGAAAGCTGTTTTCATGGGAAATCAGTTTATATTGACGCGCACGCTAATATAAGTTTATAGCGTTCTGTTGTTGGGTTTATATAAAAGACGTTTTTAATTGATTCCCCTCAGGGTTACAATATTTTTCAACACTCCACTTCTATATCCACGATCCATTTGTATCCACGATCTATTCGGAGGCCCGATTCAGTTCGCTTTTCAATCGATAAACTCGACTTGAAAGAGACCGGCCCGGAAAAGTCCGACGGTGTGGATTCGAACTCGGGACCTCCCACTCGCAGCCCTCGCACTCAGGCCGTGAGACCACTGGGCCGGTCGTTAGGCTTATATATATATATAAGCCCCCTAACATATATAAATATATATATAAACATATATATCCCCTTCGAGAGTGTTCCACCGTGTCGTGGTGGATGGGCTTGAGTGCCGTGTTGATCCATGGAGCTATGCCGGCGGAAACTTCGGTTCTTGGCAAAGTCACCCTTGCCGGACAGATCCTCGAGGAGCGACCAGACCAAGAGCGCACCCGGGCAGACC